TGATAAAGCTCTACACTGAGTGAAACATAACTTGATAAAGCTCTACACTGAGTGAAACATAACTTGATAAAGCTCTACACTGAGTGAAACATAACTTGATAAAGCTCTACACAGTGAAACATAACTTGATAAAGCTCTACACAGAGTGAAACATAACTTGACAAAGCTCTACACAGAGTGAAACATGACTTGATAAAGCTCTACACAGAGTCAAACATAACTTGATAAAGCTCTACACAGAGTGAAACATAGCTTGATAAAGCTCTACACAGAGTGAAACATAACTTGATAAAGCTCTACACAGAGTGAAACATAACTTGATAAAGCTCTACACAGAGTGAAACATTACTTGATAAAGCTCTACACAGAGTGAAACATAACTTGATAAAGCTCTACACAGAGTGAAACATAGCTTGATAAAGCTCTACACAGAGTGAAACATAACTTGATAAAGCTCTACACAGAGTGAAACAATTACTTGATAAAGCTCTACACAGAGTGAAAACATACTTGATAAGCTCTACACAGAGTGAAACATAACTTAATAAAGCTCTACACAGAGTGAAACATAACTTGATAAAGCTCTACACAGAGTGAAACATTACTTGATAAAACTCTACACAGAGTGAAACATGACTTGATAAAGCTCTACGCAGAGTGAAATCATACTTGATAAAGTTTTACCACAGAGTGAACATAACTTGATAAAGCTTACACAGAGTGAAACATAACTTGATAAAGTCTAACACAGAGTGAACATGACTGATAAAGGTCTACACAGAGTGAAAACATGACTGATAAAGCTTCTACACAGAGTGAACCCACATAGCTTGATAAATCTCGTACGCAGGGCGAAATGTCCCCATTAAACTATTTCCTAAACTGTTCTGTATCACTGTCTTGTGTTCATCTAGTAAGCATCTGGTAATAACCCAGGTTTTTAACCCAAGATGCGTAATAACCTGGGTTAATAACCCAGGGTTATTACCAGTCTTACTCCACTGGGTTCCTTCCCCAGGATGCCACCCTACAACTCTCAAACCAAGTGTTTGGTACCAACCCGCCCGGAATCGAACCCGTTCCCTTCCTGAGCGATTACTTTACCATCTACAGTGGTTACCATCTACAGTGTTGCTGGTGTACCATCTACAGTGTTGCGGTGTACCATCTACAGTGTTGCTGGTGTACCATCTACAGTGTTGCTGGTGCACCAATCTACAGTGTTGCTGGTGTACCATCTACAGTGTTGCTGGTGTACCATCTACAGTTTGCTGGTGTATCATCTACAGTGTTGCTGGGTACCATCTACAGTGTGCTGGTTGTACCATCTACAGTGTTGCTGGTGTACCATCTACAGTGTTGCTGGTGTACCTCTACAGTGTTGCTGGTGTACCATCTACAGTGTTGCTGGTGTACCATCTACAGTGTTGCTGGTTGTACCTATCTACAGTGTTGCTGGTGTACCATCTACAGTGTGCTGGTGTACCATCTACAGTGTTGCTGGTGTACCATCTACAGTGTTGCTGGTGTACCATCTACAGTGTTGCTGGTGTACCATCTACAGTGTTGCTGGTGTACCATCTACAGTGTTGCTGGTGTACCATCTACAGTGTTGCCGGTGTACCATCTACAGTGTTGCTGGTGTACCATCTACAGTGTTGCTGGTGTACCATCTACAGTGTTGCTGGTGTACCATCTACAGTGTTGCTGATGTACCATCTACAGTGTTGCTGGTGTATCATCTACAGTGTTGCTGGTGTACCATCTACAGTGTTGCTGGTGTACCATCTACAGTGTTGCTGGTGTACCATCTACAGTGTTGCTGGTGTACCATCTACAGTGTTGTTGGTGTACCATCTACAGTGTTGCTGGTGTACCATCTACAGTGTTGCTGGTGTACCACCTACAGTGTTGTTGGTGTACCATCTACAGTGTTGCTGGTGTACCATCTACAGTGTTGCTGATGTACCATCTACAGTGTTGCTGGTGTACCATCTACAGTGTTGCTGATGTACCATCTACAGTGTTGCTGATGTACCATCTACAGTGTTGCTGGTGTACCATCTACAGTGTTGCTGGTGTACCATCTACAGTGTTACTGGTGTACCATCTACAGTGTTACTGGTGCACCATCTACAGTGTTGCTGGTGTACCATCTACAGTGTTACTGGTGTATCATCTACAGTGTTGCTGGTGTACCATCTACAGTGTTTACTGGTGTACCATCTACAGTGTTACTGTGTGCACCATCTACAGTGTTGCTGGTGTACCATCTACAGTGTTGCTGGTGTACCATCTACAGTGTTACTGGTGTACCATCTACAGTGTTGCTGGTGTACCATCTACAGTGTTGCTGGTGTACCATCTACAGTGTTGCTGGTGTACCATCTACAGTGTTGCTGGTGTATCATCTACAGTGTTGCTGGTGCACCATCTACAGTGTTGCTGGTGTACCATCTACAGTGTTGCTGGTGTATCATCTACAGTGTTGCTGGTGTACCATCTACAGTGTTGTTGGTGTACCATCTACAGTGTTGCTGGTGTACCATCTACAGTGTTACTGGTGTACCATCTACAGTGTTGATGGTGTACCATCTACAGTGTTACTGATGTACCATCTACAGTGTTGCTGGTGTACCATCTACAGTGTTGCTGGTGTACCATCTACAGTGTTACTGGTGTACCATCTACAGTGTTGCTGGTGTACCATCTACAGTGTTGCTGGTGTACCATCTACAGTGTTGCTGGTGTACCATCTACAGTGTTGCTGGTGTACCATCTACAGTGTTGCTGGTGTACCATCTACAGTGTTGCTGGTGTATCATCTACAGTGTTGCTGGTGTACCATCTACAGTGTTGCTGGTGTACCATCTACAGTGTTGCTGGTGTACCATCTACAGTGTTGCTGGTGCACCATCTACAGTGTTGCTGGTGTACCATCTACAGTGTTGCTGGTGTATCATCTACAGTGTTGCTGGTGTACCATCTACAGTGTTGCTGGTGTACCATCTACAGTGTTGCTGGTGTACCATCTACAGTGTTGCTGGTGTACCATCTACAGTGTTGCTGGTGTACCATCTACAGTGTTGCTGGTGTACCATCTACAGTGTTGCTGATGTACCATCTACAGTGTTGCTGGTGTATCATCTACAGTGTTGCTGGTGTACCATCTACAGTGTTGCTGGTGTACCATCTACAGTGTTGCTGGTGTACCATCTACAGTGTTGCTGGTGTACCATCTAGAGTGTTGCTGGTGTACCATCTACAGTGTTGCTGGTGTATCATCTACAGTGTTGCTGGTGTACCATCTACAGTGTTGCTGGTGTACCATCTACAGTGTTGCTGGGGTACCATCTACAGTGTTGCTGGTGCACCATCTACAGTGTTGCTGGTGTACCATCTACAGTGTTGCTGGTGTATCATCTACAGTGTTGCTGGTGTACCATCTACAGTGTTGCTGGTGTACCATCTACAGTGTTGCTGGTGTACCATCTACAGTGTTGCTGGTGTACCATCTACAGTGTTGCTGGTGTAACCATCTACAGTGTTGCTGGTGTACCATCTACAGTGTTGCTGATGTACCATCTACAGTGTTGCTGGTGTATCATCTACAGTGTTGCTGGTGTACCATCTACAGTGTTGCTGGTGTACCATCTACAGTGTTGCTGGTGTACCATCTACAGTGTTGCTGGTGTACCATCTACAGTGTTGCTGGTGTACCATCTACAGTGTTGCTGGTGTACCATCTACAGTGTTGCTGGTGTACCATCTACAGTGTTGCTGGTGTACCATCTACAGTGTTGCTGGTGTACCATCTACAGTGTTGCTGGTGTACCATCTACAGTGTTGCTGGTGTACCATCTACAGTGTTGCTGGTGTACCATCTACAGTGTTGCTGGTGTACCATCTACAGTGTTGCTGGTGTACCATCTACAGTGTTGCTGGTGTACCATCTACAGTGTTGCTGGGGTATCATCTACAGTGTTGCTGGTGTACCATCTACAGTGTTGCTGTGTACCATCTACAGTGTTGCTGGTGTACCATCTACAGTGTTGCTGGGGCACCATCTACAGTGTTGCTGGTGTACCATCTACAGTGTTGCTGGTGTATCATCTACATGTTGCTGGTGTACCATCTACAGTGTTGCTGGTGTACCATCTACAGTGTTGCTGGTGTACCATCTACAGTGTTGCTGGTGTACCATCTACAGTGTTGCTGGTGTACCATCTACAGTGTTGCTGGTGTACCATCTACAGTGTTGCTGATGTACCATCTACAGTGTTGCTGGTGTATCATCTACAGTGTTGCTGGTGTACCATCTACAGTGTTGCTGGTGTACCATCTACAGTGTTGCTGTGTACCATCTACAGTGTTGCTGGTGTACCATCTACAGTGTTGCTGGTGTACCATCTACAGTGTTGCTGGTGTACCATCTACAGTGTTGCTGGTGTACCATCTACAGTGTTGCTGGTGTACCATCTACAGTGTTGCTGGTGTACCATCTACAGTGTAGTTATCCTGGAGGGTAATCTACATTATGTACGATAATTGTACTAATGTGTACCTGTACCTAAACAAACTTACTAAACTCGCTCAATTCAGGCACTAAGTCTGCATGTACTCCTCTGGCCTTTCTCAATTCCGTCTCTCTCTCTCTCTCTCTCTCTCTCTCTCTCTCTCTCTCTCTCTCTCTCTCTCTTAAATATTATATATACAAGTTAAAGGAATGGTAAGGTATACACTGCAGGTCTCTTGTTGAGTTAAGGTTATATTTTGCAAGTATTGGTTGATATGTCAGCCAGACGCAAGATGTTCCATGGTTAGACTTGTGGATATAAATACCTCCTCTCCTCCCCTTGGGAGTTCACATCATCCCAACACTAACTTCACTACCATTAACAAACTCTTCCATATATAACACACGACACTCTTTATTTCTTAATATTTCCTGCATTACGTCTAATGCAGGAATAGGTCTTTGGAAAGCACTAAAAACTCACGTCATTCGTATTTATCAGACGAACAAGGTTGCGTGATATACGAGAGCATCTTGCGTGAATCCGGATTCCGGAGACGAATGCGTATAGCTCCCAGACGAACGGGTCGAGCGGATTCACTAATGCCGTCCGCGTGAGATGCTGGTAACAAAGATGGGAGAGCAAGGGACCAGTCTGGGCACAAGTTCAAGCCTTACTGAGAGTGGCTGCTTGCCTGCCGCCCCCACCCCCCCGACCAAATACACGCGCGCGCTCGAGCGCACACACACACACACACACACACAAACACACACACACACACACACACACACACACACACACACACACACACACACAACACACACACAAACACACACACGAACACGACATACAAAATACTGAGGGGAATTGACAAGGTGGACAAAGACAGGATGTTCCAGAGATTGGACACAGTAACAAGGGGACACAGTTGGAAGCTGAAGACACAGATGAATCACAGGGATGTTAGGAAGTATTTCTTCAGCCACAGAGTAGTCAGTAAGTGGAATAGTTTGGGAAGCGATGTAGTGGAGGCAGGATCCATACATAGCTTTAAGCAGAGGTATGATAAAGCTCACGGCTCGGGGAGAGTGACCTAGTAGCGATCAGTGAAGGGGCGGGGCCAGGAGCTCGGACTCGACCCCCGCAACCTCAACTAGGTGAGTACAACTAGGTGAGTACACACACACACACACACACACACACACACACACACACACAGTCAGTGAAGAGGCAGTGCCAGGAGCTATGAATCGACCCCTGCAACCAAAATTAGGTGAGTACAATTAGGTGAGTACACAAACACACACACACAAAGACAGGATGTTCCAGAGATGGGACACAGTAACAAGGGGACACAGTTGGAAGTTGAAGACACAGATTAATCACAGGGATGTTAGGAAGTATTTCTTCAGCCACAGAGTAGTCAGGAAGTGGAATAGTTTGGGAAGCGATGTAGTGGAGGCAGTATCCATACATAGCTTTAAGCAGAGGTATGATAAAGCTCACGGTTCAGGGAGTGACCTAGTAGCGACCAGTTAAGAGGCGGGGCCAGGAGCTTGGACTCGACCCCTGCAACCTCAACTAGGTGAGTAAACACACATACACACTATCACACACACGCACACACAACCAACACACACACACACACACACACACACGGCACCAGTTTGGAACCCACACCTAGCCAAGCACGTGAAGAAACTAGAGAAAGTGCAAAGGTTTGCAACAAGACTAGTCCCAGAGCTAAGAGGTATGTCCTACGAGGAGAGGTTAAGGGAAATCAACCTGACGACACTGGAGGACAGGAGAGATAGGGGGGACATGATAACGACATACAAAATACTGAGAGGATGTTCCAGAGATTGGACACAGTAACAAGGGGACACAGTTGGAAGCTGAAGACACAGATGAATCACAGGGATGTTAGGAAGTATTTCTTCAGCCACAGAGTAGTCAGTAAGTGGAATAGTTTGGGAAGCGATGTAGTGGAGGCAGGGTCCATACATAGCTTTAAGCAGAGGTATGATAAAGCTCACGGCTCAGGGAGAGTGACCTAGTAGCGATCAGTGAAGAGGCGGGGCCAGGAGCTCGGACTCGACCCCCGCAACCTCAACTAGGTGAGTACAACTAGGTGAGTACACACGCGCGCACGCACGCACGCACACACACACACACACACACACACACACACACACACACACACACACACAGCCAAATCCAAAGTCATGAAGATCGGGGAAGGGCAAAGAAGACCGCAGAGAGAGTATAGGCTAGGTGGCCAAAGATTGCAAACCTCACTCAAGGAGAAAGATCTTGGGGTGACCATAACACCGAGCATGTCTCCGGAGGCATACATCAACCAGATAACTGCTGCAGCATATGGGCGCCTGGCAAACCTGAGAAGAGCATTCCGATACCTCAGTAAGGAATCGTTCAAGGTACTGTATTCCTTGTACGTCAGGTCCATACTGGAGTATGCAGCACCTGTTTGGAACCCACACCTGGTCAAGCACATCAAGAAATTAGAGAAAGTGCAAAGGTTTGCAACAAGGCTGGTTCCAGAGCTCTGGGTAATGTCCTACGAAGAAAGATTAAGGGAAATAGGCCTGACGACACTGGAGGACAGGAGGGTTAAGGGAGACAAGATATCGACGTATAAAATATTGCGAGGAACAGATAAAGTGGACAGAGACAGGATGTTCCAGAGATGGAACACAGAAACAAGGGGTCACAATTGGAAGTTGAAGACTCAGATGAGTCAAAGGAATGTTAGGAAGTATTTCTTCAGTCACAGAGTCGTCAGGAAGTGGAATAGCCTAGAAAGTGACGTAGTGGAGGCGGGAACCATACATAGTTCTAAGGCGAGGTATGATAGAGCTCATGGGGCAGGGAGAGAGAGGACCTAGTAGCAATCAGCGAAGAGGCGGGGCCAGGAGCTGTGACTTGACCCCTGCAACCACAAATAGGTGAGTACAAATAGGTGAGTATAACACACACACACACACACACACAACACCACCACACACACACACACACACACAACACACACACACATCACACACACACACACACACACACACACACACACACACACACACACACACACACAACACACACACATCACACACACACACACACACACACACACACACACACACA